TCTCGGGAGCCACGCAGCCCTCCTGGGATAAACACACCCTGCATTAGCCAGCCAAAAGGGAACACCAGCCAAGGAGCACACAGCCTGAACACAGCAGTGTCCTACATCCCTTCTTTTCTGCTCAGGCTTGCCTGAAAGCCCCACAGTACTGACCCTTAAAGTATGTTCTGGTTCACTCAACAGCAAGAAGTCTAAACTGTGAAACCAAGTAAATCAAATACTGGGCATCCCACTGCTGGAAAATATCGGACTGGTTCTCTGAATGCACCCATAATATGGGTGTAAATTTTTGCCTGAATCTATGTCTTTTGCTACCACACAGTGTATCAGCCAACCTCCAGAATGACTGCATTTTTTCACCCATACCCCTATTCCTCTTCTCCTAAATCTAACCAAGATCCAAGGAAGAAAAGACCAGTGGGCAGAGAACTTCCCCACACACCCCCTTCTTAGCCTCTCCCCACCCTTCAGCTTCTTTGTACCCCATTTCCATGTATAAATCTTCCCAATTCCTTGACCTTCATACAAAGTCCTAGATACCTTCCACAAAGTCTCTGTTCCTCAGAGATTTTCTCCAAACTTCCCTCTTTCCAATCATGATCATCTCCTTTGCCTTCTGCCTTTCCCCTTTCTCTAGGTTACTCAAAATTCTCTTTTAAGCCTCTACACAACCAGCAAGACTCACTTTTCCCTCTCCTTTAAATGCTGCTCCCCATTATGAAACTTTTCCCTGTGAGTTTGTTTCTTCCTCATTTTGTAATCTGAGCTTCCACCTCCTGATAATGCCTTTAGTACACCACATACCATCAGTGCAAATTCTGAACAATTCCTGAAGTCTGAATTACATTCTCAGATATGCCAAATCTCCAAATTATCTCTGTGTTGACAGTGCCTCTCATCCCACAATACCACTCTGCCCCGCTGCTGCCTCTGATTTTGTGCTTAGACTGTAAGAGGATGCATTTAGAGTCAGTTCCAGGGAATGAGAGAGATTTTAGATTTCTCAAGCAGGCTGGAAAACTCTGGCAACAGCACACTTCAGGCATTCAAAGTACAAGAAGCTCTACAACAGACAGAAAGATTATAAATCTGCTTCCCTTTAAAAAATATTCCAGATTTATGAAACTCTGAACAATTTATGAAGTCCTGAATTTTCCTGACAATCCTGAAACACAGCTTTCAGTCTGTAAAGACCATGTAAGTAATACTTACACAATCACACTATTTAAACATGACTTTCTTCCCCTTTGCATCTTCTGACCTATTGGCCTATTCTGATTTACATGCTGAAACATTTCTTACAGAGTTCCATCACACAGTCAGGAAGAAGGGAGAGTCTACTAGTGACTCTGTTGAGAAAAAGGTTAATACACTCATTTTTCATCAGACAACAGAGAATCCACATGGGTCTTGGAGGTACCAGACACCAGAACGCATCAGTTTGGCTCTGCATTAATTTCTTAATTAACTTTTCACATGACCATTTTGGACACAAAGCAGGTTTTGTTTTGATCAGCTTTGCCCACAGATGCCTTCAGTACCACCTGCAAAATGTTGCCTGGCTACTGTGCAACCACCTGCAACATTAGAAATGATGTGTAACAGAGCCAAAAGCAGGACAGGGAAAGAAAGCTCAGTCAGACTCAAGTGGAACAGCAGAAGCACAGATCTAATTTAACCTCAGTAAAAGAGCTTTCATAAAAGAAGACTGATACAATAAAAATAGATGGCACATAATTTTTTTTTTTTTTTTTGCTTATTTACATGTCAACTTCTCCCTGGAAACATGCTCTTGGAAACATAATGCAAAAAGCAATTGAATGATCATGAGAAACAGATAATCTAACAAGTAAAGGGAAGGATAAAATAAAGAGATATGCAAGAATAAATGGAAAATTAGCAAGAAATGCCAGTTCTTATTTGTTATGTAAAAAAACTTAATTATTATTGTTTACTAAATGCTAGCAAAAAAAGTAAATTATCTCAGGTGTGCCATAATTTTCTGTTACTACACTCTGAAAGGCCTCACTTTATAAAGTAAGTCAGGTGAAGACCATTTCCTAGAGCTAAGGATAAAAATGGAGATATTAACAAATCTCCACACCATCACAGTGTGACGAATCCTAGAATCATAAAGGACTGAATGCTCCAGACTTCCAATTCAAAAGCAAGTCAAATCCATCCAATTCCTTATTTACCATTTCAGCTCCTTCTTCTCTTTCCTTTAAGCTCTGAAGTTGCTGCTGTAGCTGTTCATTTTCAATGCACTTGGCCTGCAAGCACTGCTTTGCCTCCTTAAACTTTAACTCATAAAATTCTCGCTCTTCTTTCTGCTTTTCTCTCCAGGTGGAAAGTTCCTCATATCGGTCCTTCATAGCTTGGTTGTGCAACTTCATGGCCTCTAAATGGTAGCCAGAGAGAAGACATTGAATCACATCAATATTCTGTCCATGAAACAGCAGATTTCCACTACACTGAGCTCAGCATTCTTCAGCATCAAATGGGCTGGCAATAATTGGGTATGAAATATGAGCCTCTGTCTGGCGTACCTTAAATACCAAAACTGAACTTACATAGTCCGTTAGCACTGTAATAAACAGCTTGAAATCCACTGCTGAGATCACATGCCCACACTCACCGACTTCTTGACTTTTTCCTAACCAAGAAGCCAGAAGGATTGCTCACAAGAGATACTTGGTACCTTGCTGTGTGTGGTATTTACATGATCAGCCCAAATGAAACTGCTGAAATGAGCTTCTGAAACTACTGAGACTTGGCAGGGAAAACATCCTAGACTGGTGAATTACTGCATGGAAACAGATGCTATCAAATCAAGTGTCTCAAATATGCCCAACAATGCTCTCCCCCAATATTTGGTTAAGATTCAATTGCAAGCATTGAAAAAATATACCAAACAACTTACAGCCACGTCAGTTCCCTGTAAGTAACAAAGTCAGTATGTAACAGTATCACTCTTGCAAAATGCTCATAAGATTTTTAGGCAGAGTCAATGAAATTATTTTAGACATGCTTTTTTTAAAGCAAACAACTCAAAGCTGGTTACTCAAAAATCCTTTATACTTGTACTTTCCAGTAACTTCCATTACATCCTGATGTCATATGATAAACTGCCCATGAATCCTTCAGGTTATGAAGAAAAATATAGTCTGGAGAATGATTCTGCAAGTAATGGCTTACAACAGCTGTAAATATGTCCCAAAACATTATCTTATATAAGACCTTTTAGCAAAATACCAAACACACTTCTACAAACAACTTTCCTGTTAGATTCCCATGAGACAGAAAAGTTGGACCACGTCCAAAAATGATTCAGGAAGAATTTAAACACCGGTGTAAAATCACAATACAAGAGATATGTGACTTCATGCTCTGCTGTCAAATAAACAGTGAGATACCTCTGTCTTTTACACAGAAAATTCTCAGATCCCCCAGGTTTTGCTCTAATCATTTAAAGGAAGAAGTAACTGACACCTAAATTCCAGATCCAGAAGTAAATGTATCTCACACAAAGGACTGAAATCATTAGGAATTTTCGGGGAAGGTTACTGGTTTCTCCCAGATGTACCCTGCCATAGCCACCATTCCTTTTTGAAGTATGGAAAGTAGAGTACCCACCCCCTCCTAATGCAGCTTTGGCAAAATGTTTGTAATGGATCCAACAGGGATGTACGCTGCCATAGCCACCATTCCTTTTTGAAGTATGGAAAGTAGGGTACCCAACCCTCTTAATGCAACTTTGCCAAAATGTTTGTAATGGATCAAACAGATCTACAATACAAACAAAAGAAATCTTTTAAATATTTTAAAATCTTTTTAATATGAGCAAATAGCACATCATAGGAAGAGATTTTTCATGTCACCCTCTAAAATACAGGGCTTGTATATAAAACTCAGAGCAAGTAAGTCACCCTTACATTGGGCAGTTCTCCCCCTAATCTACCACAACAATTCAATTTGATGTGTGCTCCAAATATCCCGTTGATGTGTATTATCAAACTGGCATTGTCACTTGCAAAGTTGTTTATACAGCGAATGCTACTCAGCAAGGGCAGACAAGCACAGAATTCATACTCATAGCACAAAACAAACCCTTCAGAAGAGACTCAAGGCTCTTGCATTTTAAGACCAGCTCACGTGTGCATTCACCTTTTAACTCGTTGTTCTCAGTGATTAGTTCTTTCATCTGCTGCACCATCTCTTCTGGGGTGTAGGTGTTAAGGGCTGGGGCTGCCGTGCTGTCCACTCCATTTTCCATTTTACTCTTGGAATGCTCTCCATTTTCAGCAGGACGGCCCTTCGACTTGCTGGACATCTCTGAAGCAGCTGTTTACAAGGTTTGCCAAGAGCAAACTTTCAATTTCTTGCCCAATTATAAAGAAAGCATAATCACACACTCATTTTATTAACATATCCAAGCCACGTGCCTTGTCACAGCACACAGGCACCTTCAATCCCTCTAACCCCGCTACACCAGAGTACCCGTGAGTCTACATTAATCCCCCATGGGCCTAAAACACTTGATGCCCAAGACGCCTTTCGGGCTAACCAACCCTTCCTCAGGAGCCCATTTCTCTGGGAATGAAACGAGACTCCCGCTCCCTTTCCCATCCCTGACAGCACTCGGGCCCCGCCGCCCGCCCGGCCCTGTGGGCGCCCCGGCACCGCCTTTCACGCAGAGAACCCGTTTCCGCTGACTTTTAACTTTCATTTTCGCTTTCCTGTCCCCTCTTCCCGTTCTCCTGCATACCCCACCGCGGTGCTGGGGAGGCTGCGGCGCCTGCACCCGCCGCTGCCCAGGCACGGCCGCTCCGTCCCTGGGCCACACCGGCCCCCGGGAGCCGCAAGACGGCGTTTCCCCGCCTTGCCCTTCCTTCCCGCAGGCCCACCCCGGATCCGCCGAGTCACCGGGCGAGCCCGGCCACGGCGACCGCCACCCCCCGCTCTGGGCCGGCCTCAGGGACCTCGTCCCCACTCACCCCTCACGGCGCGCCCATGGCGGCAGCGGCCCCGCTCAGCTGACGGACGGACTGCCCGCCCTCCCCCGCCGTCCCCGCCTCCTCCTCCGCGGGGACTTCCCAGCACACCTGGTCCGCCTCCCGGGCGCGCTGCGTTCGCTTCCTTCTCGCTTTCCCGGCTCCTGCCCTGGGGGCCGCCGGCCCAGCGCGGGGGGAGCCATGTCCCCCATGGAGCTGCAAGGTGGTGTGGGGAGCAGTGCTCCTCAGGGGAGAAGTCCTGCGGGTCGATGAGGTTGGGAAACAACTCTGAGATCTTCGAGTCCAGTTTATGATTGAGCACCGCCTTGTCACCCAGGCTATGGCACTGACGCTTCCAGACTTTCCTTTACGGTCACCTCCAGGGACAGTGACTGCACCACCTCCCGTTTCAATGTCGAATCACCCTTTACGTGAAGAAATTCCTCCCAATGTTCAGCCTAAACTTTCCCTGGAACAGCTTGAGGCCACGTCCTTTCGTCCTGTCGCTGATTTTATGGCGGCAGAGCCCGACCTCCTCCTGGCTATAACCTCCTGTCAGGGATTTGTAGACCTGTAAGGTCACCCGTGAGCCTCCTTTTCTCCAGGACAAACAAACCCAGCTCCCTCAGCTGCTCCTCACAGGACTCATGCTCCAAACCCTTCCCCAGCTCCATTGCCCTTCCCTGAACCCCTCCAGCACCTCGGTGTCCCCTGAATTGAGGGACCCAGAACTGAGCACAGCACTTCAGGCGTGGCCTCACCCCTGCCCAGGACGAGGGGAGGAATGGCTTCTCCTGGCGTGAGGCAAAATCCAGGGGTGGGTGTGAGGTGTACAAAAGGGAACGTTATTGCACGGGACATTTTAGTGATTTTTGCCACAGGATCAAATCAGTTAGGAAGGGGTTTGCCATGCTGTGGGGATATAGTCCATTAATGGCTGTCAAACAGTGTGGTTGGAATCCTTTACATGGCAGATTCCAGGGATGGGGTTAGCTGGGGTCATTCACCCTGCACAGCCCCGGTGCTTTGTTACTGTGTTTAGAAGGATGCAGGTCTGGGAGTACCCCAACTGCTTGTTCTCAAGTAACAAAGCCAACCAGGACATGTTGGTTCGTTTGTTTACAATATGAAAAATTATAGCCGTTGTAGCTAAAATGTGTTTCCGATGTGGAAAATACCAATTTTTCATTAAATAACCTCATGGCTCAAAAATAAGTTGTTTTGATTTGAAAATGCTGCTTTGCCATGTCCTAGGAGTTGTGAACTGTCTGTTGTCTAATAAAATCGTGCCTTTCCATGGGTTGGTCTCCCCAGCTGCCCTCCAAGTGCCACAGGCAGGGATTTCCCAGGATGAAGGAGAGAAGTAAGGTGCCCACTGGATGTTTGAATGGTGGACACTGGCAGGGAGGAGTCCTTTTGCAGGTTCAGCATTTCAATGGGGTGCAGCTTGCAAATCTCCCAAGAAATAAAGCCAGCAAACATTTGGGACCACCTACGTGGTGCAAAGAACAGGTCTGATAGCAGATTTATGCACGCTGAGTTCATAATCCATGTGCTTTTTGCTTACACTGCTAATGAACAGAATCTGTCTCCTTGATGATAGAATAAGATCTTCTCTCTGAGAGGGAATATGATTTTGGAATTGCTGTCGTCTCCCATCACTGCATCTGTGGCTGGATGTTAGACAGGAGTGTATGGGAGTTAGAGGGGCAATAAAGAAACCTTCTGAGAGACTGAGGAACAGAATTACTAGCAGCTCATCATGGCTTTTTATTTGAGCTCTGAGCTAAGTTCTTGCAGACAGCAAGACCTTACTGCACGTGCAGCAAAGAAAATTGAGTTTTACTTGTCAGGAGACTTTAAATAAACATTTGGGGGTTGTTTTGTTGTTGTTGTTGTTGTTGTTGTGGTTTTTTTTTTTTGTTTGTGTTTTGTTTGTTTTTTTTTTTTTTCCCACTCCTGATACCTGTTTGTTCCCTCAGTAATCCCTGGTCTGGTTATAGTACCCAGATTGAATTTCTGGGAACAGATCTTATTTAAGCCACAAATACCCATGTTTTGGGGGAGCAGTTTATCTTTTCAGTGTGTGTTTCTCTGCCAGTAAGACTTATGTATCTCACGATGCTTTGAAGAGATCCAAATGCAAGAATAGTCCTTGCTTGCAGTTCTAAAATGGAGGTGGGCTGCCTGGAAGCAGAAGTCATCTATCTGATTATAATTGGAATGAAACACTTTGCTTTTTAAAAGCCAAAGAAAAATTAGAGTCCTTATTGATACGGAAAGGAGATAAATAACCAAAGAGGCTTTGTGAAAAATAAAAAATATGAGACAATTTATTTACATGAAAGAAAAAATGGGCTTCTGTCTAAGGAAGATTAAAGTGTTTGCACAAAACTCGTGTTGCACATCAGCCTTGTGGGAATACAAGGAATAAAGCAATTGTTTGGGCCCACCTATTTTATTCATATACTTTTTTCACCACAGTTTCTCATGTGATGAATCCTTTTGTCCATTCTGAGGTTACAGGTGACACACAGAAATGAAATGTGTGGGCTCTGTGTAGGAAGGAGATCTGTTCTGCCTTTCCTGGTGAGTGGTCTGAACTGCTGGGCTGAGTTAGGAGTAGCCCATCTCTCTATGCTGTACGGCACAGATAATAAATATTTGGAGGTAAGAGGTATAAAAGTGTCCAGCTTTCCCCAAACCACTGCATAACATTTGTTTGCAAAAAAAGACATCGATCAGCTCTGGGTCTAAGGGCTCAGATGCAGTCAAGTTACTTAAGAAATTTTCTTGTGGCATCTGAGCCATGGAAACAGTCTTTGTGTACACCCTGACTCCCTAGAAAATGTGGGATAATTCACTTTAGCTTAGTCTGAAATGATGAAGAATTGTGCTGAATTATCACAACAGTCTGGGCTAATATCTTAGGTATTGTTTTTGCAGTTATCTGGAAGCTGAGTCCTGAGAATCAGCCAAGGCTTGAACTTTGGGAAGCTTTGGTACAAAGAATACCTCTCTATGAATATCTCTATATATATACACTCAGGGCTTACAATTTATCCATCTCTCTCTGTCGTGGGTTATGTGGAACTGATGTGCCTCTGCATCTCTTCTGCTGGCTTTACTCTTTCTGTCTTTCAAGTCTCAGCATTGCCTTCTTGATTGTTGCTGCAGTAGCTGCTGGAAAATCCTAATTTTGACCAGGATCCCATGGATAATGTACAGACATAGCCCAAAGACTGACTTCTCTCTCAGGACACAAGAAATGTGCACTGTCCTGGTCTGGATCGTGTCCTCTGAGCAGCTCAGGTGCTTAAAGAGGCTTTGCTTTATTCTGCCACAGAGCTATCTGCATGTCTGTGGAGGAACTACTAACCTTGACTAATACCTGGGCCTCTTGCCAACATAAATGCTGGAGTGTTTGCTGTGACTTCAGATTTGCTGATTAAGCTTAATTTCCAGCTGACAGGTAATTTGAAAACACCATAAAGATATGTTCTTTGCAGGCTTTGAGCAGATTAAGTGGGGGAGAGGGGTTGTTATAAAGCCCATCCAACTTCTGCAGTCAGCAGTACTCTGTGATGAATGTCACCATAACCTAGAGAGAAGTAAGATGATGAAATGCATTCCTTTCTTCCAACAATTAAGTGCTACCATGGCCTGGAGAGGACTCAGAGCCAGCTGGGAAAATTTACATTAATCATAGTCAGGCCTTAGATGATCATGTACAGTAAAACAGCTACAAAGAACATGAAAGTCACATGTATGATCTGAGAGTTTGTCTGCCACTGACAGATTGTAGGACAGGTTAAATCTGGGATCATCATAGATTTTTGATTATCAGCCCAGTATTGAATCTATTGCTGATGATACTGTTCTTACCTTCCAAGGGAAAATCATCAAAACGGAAGTCCAAGAAGCCAAAAGATGACAGAAATAAAGTAGTAGAAAAAAAAATGACCAAAGGTCCTGTTTTCGATCTAATAACCCTGCTGTGGGCAGGATATGTGAAGCAAAGGTAGTGCCAAAGAATGTGTCTAACTAACTGCTTTTGGCCCATTGTGAGTTCAGTGCAGTGTGTTGTGTACTTCTTTCCCTCCCACATGTAGCCAAATGGATAAGTTCTTTTACAACTGCAGTTATATAACACTCCTGTGCAATGACACAGGAGAGTAAAGATGCTCTAGAACAATTTTTAGATGATCTAATACAGAGACTGCTGGAATTTAGGAAAATTGTAATGTCATGGTTTTATTTTTCAGATTTTTCCTTCCTCTAGTGAGTTGCAGTTGGATTGTGCCAAGTTGCTGGAATTCCTCACCAGCTCTGATTTCTTTCTTGAAACCAACTCATTCTGTCACCAGTCAAAAATATTATCTGTAGGGTTTTTTCTAATAGATTTAGTGATTTGAGTCAAACTAGCAAAAATATCCCACTTATGGACAGTCTAGCATGAGCAGCAGAAATGAAAAGTATTCCACACTATTTCCTCTAGGTACCTGGCCCTGCCTTAGGAGCTCTGATGACAAAGTAATTTTCTGCCTGTCAGTAAGCTGGTTTAGAAATTTTGCAGAGAAGAGCAAAATGTTAATCACAGGTCTGATGGTTTTGTGATTTTGTGTCTGTCATTGCAGAGGAGATGAACTGGCTCCTGGCTGTGGAATAACTACCACAGACAGCACTGTAGGGTCCTTGTTCAGGCTGTCTTCTCTTTCGTGACTGATCAGCAGATACTGATGTCAGCTCAGGATGCAGTACATTTCACTCAACAGCTGCCATGCCAAAAATAAGATGGATAAATGTGCAGAAAATCTAAAAACCAAACTGACCACCATCCTTGTTTTCTCTTCCCAATAGATGGCAGCAATTCTCTTTCCGTATCGTCATCTGTTGAACAGGTCAGGAGCTCTAGAATACCAGAAGAATTAAAAAATACAGGCATCTTTGCCCTTTTATTTTGCTCTTTCTGAGTGTGAAATTTGCACCAAGAAGGCAGCAGACTGAGAAAATGTCTGAAACCCTTGGAATGTGGCACTGCTGCCAAGTACAGCCGTGCCAGGAAAACACAGGCAGGTCAACAAGCAAACGTGACCCAGGGCTCAAAGATGGGGGAGGGAGGTTTTCTTTTACCTAAGAATGATCAAAAATAAAAGTGGGACTGTTTTAGGGTTTAACTGAGAAGGAATTGGAGAGCCATGGAAGAAGGGAATGGAACATGAGGATTCCAGGTCAGATGGAGAAGTCTCGGACAGCCAAGGAGCAATGTCAGTGCACCTTGTGGAGGAAGAATCACACACAGTGCACTGTCCAGCACAGCAGGCTCCCCTTGGAAGAACTTTTGTATAAATCTCCAAGAGGAAATTAAACAAGAATGGAGCTCAGGAAGGCTCTCTTCAGAAAGTACTGTGGCAAAAATCTCTGGCAGATAAGACTGCTTTCTTTATCCTGAAATGCACCTGTGTTCCTCATTAGAAGAGAACAGCTCCATACCACCAGATGGGCCATGGGGAGGGATGAGCCAGGCTCCCATCACACATTATGACATAAAGAAAACATTGCTTCCTGGCTGCAAAGAGATGGTCAAAATAAAAATATTTAGATTTAAGATTATTTAAAATGTAAAAAAAGCGCATTATATTATTTTAAAAAGCATAACTCTCAACTATAGCCTGGAGGCAAATGAGTTCTTAATGAATTTTGGCACTTAAATCCTTTTAAAAAATCTCTTTCTAATGTTTTCAGTCATATATGCCCTTTATTTTCTTTTTACCTCAAACGTCTCGCTAGGATTTTTGGTTGAAGTGCTCTTTGACTCCACAAGCTGCTTTTCTGCTAAATGTGGAAAATGTCACTCTAGTGGGTTGTGTAATTGCACTCCCCACTATTTCTCTTTTTACACAATCTGGAGGAGGGAAATAGTGCTACCCCAGTGAACTGAGCTGCACTGGCAGTTTTGATGGGATGCAGCAAATACAAACCACTAAGAGGAAAATTCCAGAACATTATGGAGACTGTTAGAGTACAGAGTTTCCCAATAAGACACCCCAGATCCCACACCTGATAGGAGCTAACTGGGTCTTTTTCTAGAGCATCTTGTGGGTCTACAAGCCATGAACCCTGAGCAGCACTCCAGGGGACATGGGATCATATCCTCATCTTGCTCTTGAGATACTGTGGTTTCTACTGGGTGGAAATGAAGTTTGCAAGCACATCTCAAAAACTGCAGCATTCCCCTGATCATTTAAGGGATATTCCCATGTTGCAGCCTTTGCTTGTCTCTGTGATGGCTTTAGGAATACCCCAGCATACCTGGGAATATGCTGCTGCAAGGAGGCTTGGAGTGCAGTTTGTATGGTGTTTAAGCCTCTTTGAGACAGCACTGCCATTGAAAGAAGTGCAGGTGGAGACATACAGACAACCAGAGCAGAGTGAACCAGCCCAGAGGTTTTTAACCTGGATCAGTTTTTACCTAAAGCAGTTTTGCTTGTGCTGACTCAAAACATGCTCACACGGTTTTGATAGTATGTTGGGGAGAAGTAGCCTTTGGACCTGTTGGAACAGGTCCAGAAGAAGGCCATGAAAATTAACAAAGTGCTGAAGCACCTCTCCTGTGAACAGGCTAAAAGAGTTGGAGTTGTTCAGCCTGGAGAAGAAAAGGCTCTGGGGAGACTTTATTGAAGCTTTTCACTACTGAAAGGGGGCTGGTAAGAAAGATGGAGAGAGACTCTTTAACAGGACTAGGAGTGACAGGATAAAGGAAAACAGTTTTAATCTGAAAGAGGGTAGATTTGCAGTGCATATAAGAGTGATTTTTTTTTTTTTTTTTTTGCAAGGAGGGTAGTGAAAATGGGCCCAAGTTGACCAGAAAAGCTATAGATGGATGCCCCATCCCTGGAAGTATTCAAAGCCAGGTTGGATGGGGCTTTGAGAAGCCTGATCTAGTGGAAGGTGCTCCTGCCTATGGCACTGGGAGAGCAGTGAATACTGGGAATAATTTGGTTTGCAAGAAAAAGTAGAGGATGAGAACTTTTCCGAGGCTATTTGAGGCAGTAAACTCAGACTGAAATTTTGTCAGAAAACAAAATGGTTTTCAGACAGCTGAGGGCGCTGAGCACTTCTTAAGTGAAGTTGGCGTTTTGCAGGTTTGGGCTCAGTTACAGCACTAAAATGCTCTAATCACACATAGCACTGCTGGTGAGCAAAGCCTGGGCAGGGGCTCAGGGTCCAACATTGCCAAAAGCTGAAAAATGAAAGACCCAGAGCTGCTTATGTGTTTCAGTGCAAGCATAAATATATTGCCTTAATTTTAATGGCACCTTGAAAGAACTCTTTGATCACTGATTTCCCCTTCTGAAGCAGCAGGGTTTTGTTTATTTATTGCAATTTCCATAAAAGTAGAATTGGAGAAGAATGTTAGGCTCATATACCTGTATATTTTTATTCTGGTCTTCTTCTGTCAGTTTTCTCTCATCCTGGTTTTATCCTTATCACTGAGATCTGCTTCTTTGCATGACCTTTGCCAGAATCACCACCTATAGCTGTCCCAAATTTCCCAAGAAATGGCCTCTCTTGTGGTGGAATCTGCATTTTGGACACGTCTGTTCAGGTCTGGAAAAAAGACACAGTGATTTCATTTCACCCAGACTATGATGCATGATTCTTTTAAGGGATTTTTAATATAAATCAGATTTCTCTGGATTCTCATTTATCTTGCATTGATTTCTCTAGCTTATTCAAGCTTCTTAAAATCATTCTGTGGTTTTTGTTTATTCACCACTTTTTATTAGTAAATCCTTAATTCCTTAGTGCTTCTAAAGCTTCTTAGGACACGAAGCAATGCTTCTGATTTTTAACTCTTATTACCTCTAGTGGTATGAATAAAAATTAGTTTACTTTGATGAAATACACTTAATACATACACTTATTTTATTAAAGTCAAGTAATTACTGCAACTAAAGTCTTTCTTACTTGGATACTTCGTGTCTTTAGAAGAAAGGTTAATCTACTTACTGTGGCAGTCACTTCTGCAATTTTTTCAGCTCTAAAGGGACATCTTGGCTTAGAAAGTTAAGGATTTTTGAGTCAGTCAGTTTCCTTGTTTTCATCCACAGAAACTTTAATTTGCATTTTCAAGTACTGGTAATTAAATTAAAGGATCTGTGACTTGCAAGGCCATTTGACATTGGGCATGTAACACATCTCTCAGTGTCTTAGGTTACAAGATGTGACTGGGGGTGTGTGTTTTATTCCCATCTGTTAGAGATGGGGCAGCTATCTTCTGTTCATTGGGCAGTTTTCTTTATCTCTTCCACAACCAATCCTCCCTCCAGGAGATCTCTTCTGTTCATGGACATTGAGTGTCCCTGCATGGCTGATGAAAATTCCTTCATCCCACTGGGAGATGCTCTGCCGAGGGGAGGAGCCAAGAGTTCCTACCTGGATAGAATCTGGGATTTGGAACAACACAGGCAGCCTTTTCCCACTGGATTCCTCTGGGAGCAGCTTTCTTCTCCACTGAATTCCCAGAGGAGCAGCTTTCTTCTCCCCTACATTCCCAGAGGAAGAACAGGCCCATCCACACTACCAATGAACCTTCAGAGGAAAACTCCACCTTTCCACAGGATCCCTGCTCCAACAGAACCACAGCTGGCACTGCAGGAGGGCTGAGCCACCATTGAATGGGATTGCTACCAACACCCTGACCCACAGGCTGTCAGGTCCTATTCTGACTCTGTCAGTGGTTTATTTTTTTTGTACTATTGAATTTGTATTTTTAATTTTCCTAGTAAAGAACTGTTATTCCTAGTCCCATGTCTTTGCCTGAGAGCCCCTTAATTTCAAAATTGTAATAATTCAGAAGGAGAGGATTTACATTTTCCATTTCAAGGGAGGTTCCTGCTTTCCTTAGCAGACACCTGTCTTTTCAAACCAAGACACTTACCTCAGGAGGAAGCTGAAGTAAGCCTGCGAGCAGGTTCAGCCTCCCCCGGTGAGGCATTCCAATGATGATATCCGTGACCCCGCTGTACGCGCACATCTTGAACAGCTCGTGGAAGAAACCCATCATGCTCTCTGCTCCTTCGCCACCGTATCGCTTCACCGTGGCAAACTTGGTGGCCAAGAAGTGATCAAACTCCTGTTCAAAACAGGACAACTTCAGTATTAGGCTATTTTAAGCAGCAGCCTTCTGTTTATAAAATTGAAATATAATTTATGTTTATACCCTTGAGGCATACAAATCTAAACATACCCCTGGGAAGTCTCAGCTCACTCTCCACCCACGCAGTCTGAGACCAGAAGCTATGATGACTATAAAAAAATCAGCTCTAAGCAGAAAAATGTTGCATTGAGGACCAAACTTTCTCTGTCTCACATGGAAAGTGCTTCAAGAATTCTAACACCAGATTAATTTACAAATTCCTTGGTAGTTTACCTGTTTTAGAAGGAAATTTAGGAATGGTGTTCTTTTACAGTATAAACCATCGTGATCTTGCGATATGAAGTGCTAGCAAAGCAGTGATTAATTTTGATTTACATTAGGCACAGTCCTTATTACATAGGTAGAATTCTTGGGAGAAGAAAAATAAATGAATCCATATTTACTTCATTTCCTTCTCACTTCACTCCATTCACCTCCTAGAAAGCTCAAATAAGTGACCAAGTTTTGGAAGCACTGGAAATTTCTTTAGTTTTTGCAGCTGAAGACGGAAACTACATGAAGTCTGCAACTGAGAAGGGAAGACTTAGCCACACCCAAAGATCTGAGCCAACTGCTTGTTGAGCAATATTCAGTTCTAAGGAATAATGTATACAAAACTGGTCACATATAACAGCAGGTTTTTTTTCTGTCAGGGTTAAATTATATACTCTTAGTATAGTTCTGGTCATACTGAAATTAAAGTAGAGCACATCAGGGTCCTCTGTCACCATCAAATTCCTCTAACTGCCAAAGAGGCCACAGAAAATACAAAGTGGGCTATATACTTCCGTTCAGTCATTAGTAAATATTACATTTAACACTCCTTCCACTTGGAAAACTGGAAACAGGGACACTTTCACAGATCCTGCTCTTCTACCTTTCCAACCTTCACAGATCCTGCTCTTCTACCTTTCCAACCTTCACAGATCCTGCTCTTCTACCTTTCCAACCTTCACAGATCCTGCTCTTCTACCTTTCAATCATTCTGGATAACATGGGAAGAAAAGGGGAAAAAATTAAAACTTTTCACAGTACAGAAGTATTGGAATAAATTTTCTCCATACATTTCAAAAGTGCATAAATATTTCACTTCCTTATAGAAGGCATTGAACAAAGGTTCCTTGCTGAAAAGCACCAATGCTATATGATACCAACTCAGCCCAACTCTGATTTGTTCTTCTAAAACCTTGAGGGACAGCATATTTTAAGGACAGTAAAACAGAGCAGCATGAGGGTGAGAGGAAAACACAGAACAGCTAAGCTAGAGCACAAGGTTTCACAGAGCTCTGCTCAACCTTATGGTCCCATCAGTAACATTTAATATGAGCTGTCAGATCATTAATCTAAGAGTGTCTCACTTTTGAAGACTGATTATTCACGGGTTTATAGCATCATTATTTCAGTAATGGCTGGTAAGTTAATTCAGCAACAAACTCCAATGAGATTCCTCCATTGCATTGCATTGCTTCAGACAAAGCCTTATACTTCTTCCTCCTGCACACTGTCAAAGCCTTTCAGGACAGTGATTGTTCTTTTTCTGCATGAATCGTGTCCAGAATAGTAAAGGATGCATGACAGACTTCAGGACTATTACAATCCAGTAACAGAGAACAAAGTACCTGGGACTCCAGCATCAGTTTGCACAAGTGCTTTTTCTCTTCAGGTGTAAATGCTTCTTGCTTTAGCTCTTCAAACCTTTTAGCAAACCATTCTCTCTCCTCCAAAGTTGGAAGCTGGCTTGTTTCTATGGAAATATGCCCGCAGTATATATGGTCAAGGTAAGCCATCACATCCTCTACAGAAGCCTCCTCTTTTCCCATGTTTATAAGTCCTGGTGGGAAATAAATGTTATTTAGTCACTTTGGGGGAGGAGGGGAAGCACTAAGGCCTGTTTTGGAGAAAATAAGCAATGAGAGAGACCCCCCCTCCTTTGTTTAAGGCTGCAGCAAGGCTCTAAGAGAGACAAGAAAAGACAATTCTTGACTTCTGCCCCTGTACTTTCAAACCTTCACTACAGCGTTAAGTATTGTGGTAAATCATAGAATGTTACAGTACCCTTGCCCAGAGAAAGCAGCATCACCATGAACCTACACGAGGGAAGAAAATGGAAAAGTCTCATTAGGAAACACCGGAGGAACAGCAAAATCAAAACCATAACTCATTAAGTAAGACCTCCTAAACTGGGTACATGGAACAGACACAGTTTCAGCTGGACCCACTTCTTAATCCCTCTCAGAATACTGTTTCCACGACTTGAGAGTTTAAACAGCTTTATCACCAACACAAGGTCACAGCAGCCAACATGAATGCCTGATGTAATCCCTCCCTGGAACTGACCTATAATCTCTTAAAACTGACCCACCAGTGTCCAGGTGACTGCAAGCTTCCTGGCTATGGCAAAGGTGCAGCAGTCAGAGGCAAGCCACTGACCCCTGAACGAAGGGAGCCACTCACCACAGCATTCACTACGCCATGGCTGAAGTTGAATGTTGGTGAACAGGGACTTATGCCCATTTCCACTTTACCAAACAGACAAGAACAGAAAAAGAAGTGGAAGCACTCCAAACAAAAAACTTTCAAAAGGAAATAAAATCTAAGTTCTTAGTTACATTTCTAAATAGCAATAGCAAATAAATACTGCAAATAAAAAAATAGTTTGGAAGAAGAAGGGAGAATACTGTGATAGCCAACCCAGGTTTCCAACAAAGGCTAGAGGCACTGGAGTGAGTATCATCTAACATTTCAATGTTTTGAAATTGGAGACAGTTCTCCTTTGATGAAGATGACGACAGTTTCCTCAGAATGCAGACTCAGTCATTTGCAGATTAAAGTCACTATGCAGATTGATGTACTTCCTTACTGAAACCAAATGACAGTTCTGCTTTCTAGCTGTGGAATAGTGGTTTCAAGCCTTAAGAGACTTCTACCAGTACACCAAGATAACAGAGGTACAATCATCAGTGAAATGGCAGCACTGGGTATTCCAATACAGATTTTTAAGAGGTATCACAGCAAAACAAAGGTAACTACTGCAAGAGAGAAGCCAGCATCCCCACTCTATCCCTTACCATGCTACACTTGCTCCTGAAGTTTCCCTCCTGGTTTCTTCTGCTGCCTAAGAAGGCTACATATCTCAGTGACAGCATTTGAGTGAAGACCCTAAAACACCTGAGAAAGCTTTATGACCTTTAGCACATCCCAAAGCATTAAAGCCTAATGAGAGTGTGACTATCCAATGACACAAGACTGTTCATATGCATCTCAAACCCCAGAGTATTCAATTCCTGTGGTGCAGGTATGATTTTACTCATTCTACCAAAAATATGGAGACAGTTTTTGCTAGGACACATTTTTCTCTGGTCTGCATTAGGAAAAAGCTAAAAGAAGACCTTCAGACCCTGGAAAATGAAGCTCACCACTGACAATGGCACCTTAACTGATCTTTAATCATTCTGCCCTCAAGCTCTGATACTGAGGTTTGTGGAAGAAGAGAAAAAATGCCAGTGTAAACCTCAATTCAGAGTTCAGAGTGTCTACAATGACATTTCTCAAGAGAAAGCACTGTAAAACCAGAAAGTTCAAAGTCAAACCCCCAAACCAAGATTCTGAAACACAAGGTGCCTGCTTTCATCTCTTTCTTCTCAATTAGTTGAATGAAAGCAGTTAACAGCTGGAATCAAAAATATGCCTGCTTCCGATTTCACTTGCGTACCTCTTAAAGACACTATCACAAGTAATGGTGATACATTTTCTTCCTTTTAGGAATACTTTGAATCAGTTGACTAACCTGGAGGTGTTTAGCATAGAATCAAATGTATCTCTTCTCCCCTAAGCAGTCCTCCCTGTCACTTACCCCCACAAATCCTAAGTGAAATTTTTCTTGGATAGGGAGGGTCCATTTATCCTGAAGAATCGTTGTTTAGAGTCATAGTACTTTCATTACTACATGGTGAAGATCTACCATTATGAGACAGAAACAATAGTATCTTCTCAAACTCAGAAATAACTGCACTGAAAGATGGAAACATATTGGGAAGCAAAAGTTGGCTGCACTTGCAAGCTCTAAAGACTTTCTTTTAATAAAAAACTAAGAACCCCAACTTGCCCAGAATATTTTGTATTCTCACGACTGCTTTTTCACAATATCCCACCCTTCCAGAAGAAAACAAAATATCTTTTTAACTGAAACGTTTTCACTCCTACATGTAGCTTCCTCCATGTTTGTTGTACTTTTCAGAACATTTGTGCCCAACTTGTTTTTACTTCTGGCCTTAAAATGTATAGAGTTCAATTCAGTTGTTTTTCCAAGTTCAAGTCAATGCAAGACAAGAAAATTTATCAAGGAACTGTTTAGGATTGCCCCTACAGCTATACAAGTCACTTCAAGGAGTAAAAACTAATTCCAGCAGAGTCTTCAGCAGTACCATGACAAAATAACAAAATTCTAAATCCTCCTGAACATTTTGCAGCCTTGTTGACAGCTCTTCTCCAAACCCACTAATTTGAAAGAAAGCTTCCAGTGACACTTTAAATGCAAAAGTGAGGAAAGGCACACATGGCTCTCAATACAGAATATTATTAAAATAAAGGGAGGTATCAGAATCAGTATTCAGAAATCTTAGAAGTGCAATTATTTAAATGCCAGCATCATCACAAACGCCACCTGGAGATCTTCCTAGCACTCCTCTTTCTCCATAAAGAAGATCCCAGCTCTTGACATCTAACTCAGTTTTGTTTGATATTTCTATGTACACTCCTGTTCACATTCTAGTCCAGCAAGTCTTACAAATATAAATTACAATAGCTGAGCAAAATACCTGCAGGCAAATAACTTTGTCCCCAGGCTGTGCAGAACTCTCTGGGGAGTAATCGCCATCGAGCAGAGTCTGTTGCCTGGCTCGTGTCTTGCCCACAGCCACTGGGTTGATGGCTTCTAAGTGTGAGGGGTTGGGGAGCAAGGTGACATGCACGGGTCTGTGGGAACCGAAGTCCAGATCTACAGAAGATGTCAGGTGGGAGAGAACGTCCCCAATGGCTGCTGAATTCTCTGGAAACTCACTCAAACCACGCATCTTGCGGAACATGAGCTGCAGGGAAACAGATTTGGTTAAAAACCTTTTCTGATTCACTGATACATTGAAAGAAAAACTCTCTCCTACCCCTGAAATTGCAATGATGCTTCAAAGTAGCAGAACATAAAACCATTCATTAGAGTTCTTTTAACAGTCTTCTGCAGACAGTTCACTGAATGTTGATAGGAAGGGAGAACACTCTCACACAGGTAACATTTTATTGCTCCAGCACTCAAAACACGGCAAACTTTTGGGGGTTTACTTTACTGCAAATAAACCAGGCAACTGCCTGTGAGATTATAAATCTCTTACTGTCTTAGGTTGCAAGATGCAGCTGGACGTGTGTATTCAATTGGCATCTGTTAGAGGTGGGGCAGCTATCTTCTGTTAATTAGGCTGTCTGTTAAAAGCAGGTGGGGCAGTTTTCTTTATCTCTTCCACAATCAATCCTCCCTCCAGGAGATAGCTGCTGTTAATGGGCCAGTGAATGTCCCTGCATGGCAGATAAAATTACATCACCCCACTGGGAGATGCTCCACCCAGGGGGAGGAGCCAAGAGTTCCTACCTAGATATAATCTGATATTTGGAACAACACAGGCAGCCTTTTCCTACTGGATTCCCAGAGGAGCAGCTTTCTTCTCCCCTACATTCCCAGAGGAAGACCAGGCCCATCTACACCACCACTGGACCTTCAGAGGAAAACTCCACCTTTCCACAGGATCCCTGCTCCAACAGAACCACAGCTGGCACTGCAGGAGGGCTGAGCCACCATTGAATGGGACTGCTGCCAACACCCTGATCCACAGGCTGTCAGGTCCTATTCTGACTCTGTCAGTGGTTTATTTTTTTTGTACTATTGAATTTGTATTTTTAATTTTCCTAGTAAAGAACTGTTATTCCTAGTCCCATGTCTTTGCCTGAGAGCCCCTTAATTTCAAAATTGTAATAATTCAGAAGGAGAGGATTTACATTTTCCATTTCAAGGGAGGTTCCTGCTTTCCTTAGCAGACACCTGTCTTTTCAAACCAAGACACTTAGGTATTTTTAATTTTCCTAGTAAAGAACTGTTATTCCTAGTCCCATGTCTTTGCCTGAGAGCCCCTTAATTTCAAAATTGTAATAATTCAGAAGGAGAGGATTTACATTTTCCATTTCAAGGGAGGTTCCTGCTTTCCTTAGCAGACACCTGTCTTTTCAAACCAAGACACTTAGGTACATGTGAGCATGGTGAGTTCCCCACATGGAGATAAATGTCCTAATTTAGGGTTTGTATATGACAATGTGATGGTATCTCCTAACCTGAGCTGTACAGAGCCTCAAGGCATGGCATGGGCCACCTCATTTTTTGTTCAGGTGCCCTGGTACCTAAGGCTCTACATTTTGTCATAGAACAAATGTCTCCTTCTTTGTCTTCTGTGACCATGCAGCCAGGCTGCAGCTGATGGGAACTTGGGGAGGGATTTGCTTTCGTCCCTGAGCTCAGGACTTGGCTCCTGAGCTGCTGAGCTCCTCAGTTTTCCCACTAAGGAATGAAGCACAGAGAAATGATTCTGCAGAGAAACAGCAGAGCATGTTTCTCTTGTCCCACTACTCTTTTCACTGAGAAAACATAATTTCTCAGTACTCATAATGTGGGATTCCCAACCCATCTCAGCATTTCCAATAATATAAAAAATGCTTTTGTCAACATATAACTTCCTCATGGTAGAGCCAGGCAGCACAGGGACCATCTATTTTCTCCACGTGAGGAAATAC